TGTATGTACATATTTAACAGATGTGCGGGTGGTTTGGCAGAATACATATTTATTTAGAAGCCCCTGAAAGGCGAACAGACAGCTGATAAACCAGCAAAGTGCTAAAGATGAAAGCATATAAAAATAAATGGTTATACTCGAGCTGCTTATCGGCTTGAGTTGAGTGCAGCGGAATCTACTTTGTGGTGTTTTGTTAATTTATTGATTAAATGCGGTCGTGGCCGTTGAACAGTGAAAGTGTGTAACTAAATTAGAAACATCCAACGGACTTGGGCGAAAATTGTGTATACATATCGAGCCCTAACCGCCAAAATAACGTAAGCGACATTTTTCCCAAAATTTTCATTTTTACACATTCATGTTTCTGGCATACGGGCGACGATATGCACACAAATTTCAAAAATATGCGCTATAAAAAAGTAAAATATGCAATTAAAAATATTTTCCTAATGTTTTATTGCCGGTACAAAAATAAATAACACACGCATTTTAACAAGAAAAGAACGAAAACAATTTATTTCAAAATAGAGTACATGTCGAGACCGCCAAAAAGATGTAAGCGACATTTTTTCAAAATTGTATTTTTGATGCAGATATGCATCTAGATTATCTAACATTACTGCGTCAAAAAGAAAATTTGCAAAAAAAAAATTTCGCTTACGTCTTTATGGCGGTCAGGGCTCGATATTTATGGATAAAAGTAGTTTATAATCATGCAGACAGTTAGCAGTTAGTTACAGATGAGTATTCGGGAAAAAATTATAGGCAATATTTTGTCAAGAGATATCGCACTAAATTTCAATGATTGTACATAAATATGCAAAAACCGGGATTTTCGCAAGATATGCAAAACAAGGTATTTGCTGCAAAATATGCACTAATGACTGAATGCAATTTTAAAGGAGATTTTATGATACGTAAAGATAACCTGACCATTTCCATTTGAAGTAAATTAGATAACTTTACATACAAATTTTTCAGAATCCTGAAATTCTCAATTTGTTTTAAAAAAAAAAACACTTTCGCATGATTACTCGTACTTAATAACGAGTTACTATTTATATTTATTAGAATCAATGATTACATATATATATTAATTATAAATATTTTAGCTCATCCTATCCAGATACTAATATTTATATATATGCCATGCATATGCATTTGAGGTTTCTCGTTCACTTTACTACTCCTTTGTTTCCTCCTCGTCATCACTGTTGTTGGCCGACGAATCGCCGAGTGTGATTTCAGTCAATTCTTGTTCCTCCTCAATGTCTCCACCCTCCATGGCATCGACCAACGTAACACTTTCCAATTTGTTGCCACTTGACTTCATTGCCACCTTTTGTTCTGTGGCTTTTGACAAGCCAACAACCATAGCTGCTTTCGTTGTTGAAGTGCTGCCAGCTGCTGCTGCTGCTGCACTGGTTGATGCAAAACCGGCTGCAGTAGTTGCGGCACCGGTCTCTCTTAATTTCTCGCCAAACATCGGATTATCGAAAGCGCGCTCCCTTACCTGCCCACTTTCGGCATCGTAGCCCATGGCAATGCCATCGGTCGCATCTGCCTCTGCACCGGTGGCCGTAACATTATCAAACCGTGCAAACATGACGGAGGGACGTACTAACAATGCACGCCAACGTCTCGGATCATAGACCCACTGCGGTACGTAGCGCAAATAGCGATGATCGGGTGCATAGTGTGCGAAAATTACCAAAGCCACCACCGAGACAAACATCAAGCACAAAATGATGAGCAGCACAGAGCCAAATGTTATATTCGGATTGTAGGGGCGTCCAGATATAAGAATATCCATTTTGTACGATCTTTCAAAGACTTTTGACCAATCGGTGCTTGCATTCAATTGGGCCACAAACTTCACGCTCTTCTCGGAGTATGCTTCACGATCGACAATAATGGCCTCTAAGTAGTTTCCATATGGCTCTGCATTTACGTAGGTAATGTGATAATCTAAGTCGGTTGTAAGCTCTTGTTCCTGAACAGAAGCTGCTAATAGTTCCCGTAATTTATTTAAATTCCGTTCGCTGCAGTAATCCATTTGGAATGACAACACAGAACCACATATTGGACAGCAACTTGCAAGAGGCGTTACCGGCACCAGACAGTGCGGCCGGTCGCATTCCCCTGCCACATTCTTGCAAATGGGTTCCGAAAATACTAAAGCGTCTATGTGACAGCCGCAGGGATCCTGGTGATAATACTGCGCCATTGTATCCAGACTATTTTTGAATAAAAGCTGACCGATATCAGTGTGTATCAAGTAATTTAGATAGTCATTCGATATGAGAGATCCGGCCAAATTCAGATGGCCCATCCTCAAATAAGGAACATTCTCTAAATCAATCGAAAGCGGTCCACTACGTGGCATTACCACTGTCTCGTTGTCACAGGGAACGCGTTCCAAATGTGGTATAGCCGTGTTTTGGGCTTGAGACGCGGGACTTAGCCAACTACTTGGGTTATACCACTTTCTTGTCACAGGCATTTTTAAGTAAGCACGGCGACTACGTCCATTTTGACATTCTCTCTGCTGCAATTCTCCTCCAAGCGTAATTGTCGACTCGTCGCTGAGCAGAAGGGCACCATCGCGGGGTAACACGATTCCGCTGATGTCCACTTTGGTTGGAAGTGGTAGCACGGCTGGATATGTTTCGGGGAAAACAACCTCTTCGAGTGCACAAGGCAGGTATCCGGACTCCCACGAGTCGGCACTATCGAAACCGGGATTCCCCAGGAGTCGCTTGTTACTGGTGCTCAAGGAGGCGGATATCAGGAGCGTCAAAAATTTTAGAATAGCTACTCCCATGTTAGATGCAAAAACTTTGAGATGAAAACAGAAACTAAAGGGAAAGTGTTGCGATAATAAAAGTGAAGCCAATGCGTTGTAATAGGGGGCGTATAAAAAATTGCTACGAGAGCCATGGCATCGCATAAAATATAAAGTGAATGATTGTGCTACTTTCAACAGTTCTGTTCGCCATGCAAAAGCCAGTAAGAATTAGCCAGAATCAAAATTCAGAGAATATGGTATCTTACTCTCCCGAAGAGAGAAACTTACTAAGTTTGTCGTGAACAGAAATGAGCAAATATTTGCAAGCTTCACTGCCAGCTGGCGTCCACGGTTGCATTTGGAACACAATAAATTTTTTTAATTATTTCAGGTGGAATACAAAATTGGACCTATATATTTTAATACACTTTATACAAGTGAGATTGAGAAAAGGTTGCAATTGCCTGTTAATGTGAGCCTGCTCTCAGGCACTATTGCACTTCTCTTACCAAATGGTCGATTGGGTATACGTATGTACATTAGGGTGGTCCACAAATGCATGTGAATAAGTAAAGTTGGAATTTTACGCTCTCACCCCCTAGGATTGTTCTATACCGAAAAAGTATACCCTTATTTTTTTTTATTTTGGAATCAAAAAATATTTAGTGGTCGCTTAAAGCGCTCAAAGTTTTCCATGTATTTCACCGTGCGACAGTCAACTTTACACACGAAAAAATCAATATATTCACAAAACCGGGGGCCAAATATAGTAAAATAGCGTTTTTATTTTTACTCTCTGACGGCTGGATTTTTTTAAAAGGACTTCGAAATTTTTAAAATATGATTGAATAAAAAAATCATTCAAAAGACTAGGTGCATTGTAGAACAACAATATGGGTATCAACTAAAAGAAAAAATTCTGTAGAATAGAAAAAAACGTAACTTAATGTCTCGAAGATCCGACCTTTGGCCCCTTATAGCACCATAGTTACATATAATAATAAAAAATAATTTTTACGAAAGGTCCTATTTCGAACTTCGAAGGCCCATATCTCGATATCGGAGGGTAACTTTGAAAAATGGAGAAATTACTTTTTTACCTATCAATCTCTTAAAAAAAAATGATTTAGTCCGATACCCAGCCGAGTGCTGTACAGTGTAATGATTTCAGTATCTTCATATGTGTATATTTTAACTATCAATTTCTTATAAAGGGAAGTGTAATTTTTTTTTTAATCTAAAACTAATAAAGTTAGAAGGACGAAATTCGAGGATGTGGTAGTTTACATATAAGTCCTTGACATATATTTTTTTCAAAAATAAATATTGGAAATTTCCAAGGATATTCAAGGATAACATTTTAAAAGGACATTTTCAACACTTATTCGTCCTGGTGAACTAAAAAATTTAGTTTTTTTCAATTCTACAGAGCTTTTCCTTTTAATTGATACCCATATTGTTATTGTACATGCACCAAATCTTTTAAATAATTTTTTTTGTTCAATCATATCCTAGAAAAATCAGTCCTTAAAAAAAAAATCCTGACGTCAGAGAGAAAAATTAAAAACGCAGTTATACTATATTTGGCTCCTAGTTTTGTGAATACATTGATTTGTTCGGTAGTTTTATACATTTTTGGGTTTTAGTCGCACGTTGTTTTATATGGACAAAAAAACTTTTCGTAGAAATGGTACATAATTCTTAAAACTCTGTTTCTTTGCAAGAGATTCGCAATAATAATACCCGATTGTTTATTTAACCATTTTTTCGTAGTAACTATAATTTATAGGTCCGCCAAAAACCCCCAAAACCCCGAAGAATGCAGTGGAGGGACTAATAAAACATCGTAAGTATTAAAAAATTGTTAAATAAACAATTGGGTATTGTTATCAAAAGTCTCCTGAAGTGAACCAGAGTCTTCCGATATAAAATACATGTACAACTTTGAGCGCTTTGAGCCACCTGTGGATATTTTTTGATTTCAAAATAGGGGTATACTTTTTTTCGTTATTGGACAATCCTAGGGGGTAAGAGCATTAAAACTCCGAACCACGCATTTTTTCCATATAAAAAATTTTCAGAATTTTTCAGAAAAATAGTATTATCTTTCTACTTCTAAAAAATTTATCTTACAGTGTTAATATTCACAAATTTTTTTACGTATTTTACTAGCCCTCAGACGTAGATTCTATTTTATTTTGTTGGATTTCCTTGTTACCAATTAAAAATGCTATCATTTTATCTATTTTGATTTTGATTTTATTTGTTTTTTTTTTTTTTCAAAACATTCATCATATTTCAAAAAGTTTTGCCAGCATACTGTATATCAAATGAATTATCACTTTTGCATATAACAAAAAAAAAGAGTTGGCTTCCCTACAAGAAATCTTACTGGCAAATGACCGGTCACCTGACGGTCAGTGCTGATGCAATAATGCTTCAATTTCCTCTTGAGAAATTCGGGGGTAATATGAAAAACCTAACCAGTTCTTTTGTGTACTTTTTTTCTAGCTGTCAGGCATGGTGGAAATAATTTGAAAATTTGCCTACATTTAAGCATGAGATGTTCTCGGTATATGTTTTCTATAATTTTCTGCTATAATTGCGATGTTTTTGCGATTTTTCGATCACACTGGCACCGAAACTGTGTTTTGGGACCGAAAAATGCTCTACCGAAATCGGTTTGGGACCAAATTAACAGTTTGATAGCCATAAACTATAAAAAGTTTGAGCGCCACTGATATGCTTCGGACAGAGCTGTCAGTTTTCTTCATCACATTCCACCACTGTTGCCAGAGTCGTGCTTTTCGCACTAAATGTAGTGCTTTTCTTTATTCAAAACGCCAAAATTTTTGAGTTTGGTGCTTGGTGCGTTTTTTGGTGCTTCATTTTTTAGTTTGAAGATACTAAATGATAAAAAAATTAATATCAATCGTAAATATTTTAGCAGCTTTACAAAAATGGAAACAAAATCATGGCACAATGACAATCATAAGCGAACCAACAAATTTTTGACACAGATTTTTCCCACTATGCGCTCAAATAAGGCATATTAAAAAGAAAATCAAATTTCGTTATGTTTCAGTGTCAAGCAGTCGGAAAGAAAAGTTTTTTATGTTCCTTTAGTTCACGAGATCATAAGAGACTGCAGTGTAGATTTAAACTACCACATAGTTCATGAAACTTTATTTTTGGTTTTTGCTTTCGTTTGACAGGAATTGCAGAAAAAATTATGCAAAGCGAAGAAAAATATAACATATAAACAGTCACGAAATTATTTATACGTTTTTCTTGAATCTAAGCGAAGCGGCAACGCTGGACACAGCTGCCTATTAATAAAATAAGAACAAGAATGTTATCGTTACTTGGACGAAAATATTTGACTTAATAGAAAGCAGAAAAAACTCGACCGTCGAGCAGGAAACATTGATTTTTATTAATTTAAATCAGCATCCCTACAAAAAACTTTTTATTATTAAATACTTTGATCAAAATTTGGTGCATTTTTCAAGAAAAACCCGATTTTTCTTGAGTTCTTAGTGCGTTCTCAAATCTGAAGCTTGGCAACACTGCATTCTGCATGACATTCTAGTTTCATTGATTTTTTTGTCCGCTTCGGAATAGAGCAGCGGGCGCTGATTGTGTTTGTTTATTATCAATTCAATTAATTAAATGTGTGTATTGTTAGTCAGACAGTAACCCGCTATTAATCGTTACAATTTACATATATATACGAACAGAGCAAAGATCGTCTCTTCATAATTATTGATTAATGTTATTAGTGCTGAAAATGGTCAGAGGCAAATCAAATAACGTGAATGCGGCTGACGCCTTGCATCAAGGAGTTTATAAGGCTTTGCGTACATTGGTTCATTTAACGGCGGCTGTGCAATTTTCCTATGCTGTTTACTACGACTATACTTATGTAAAGCTTCCTGAAACAGAGGCGAATAGGAATAGTGGCTTTGGAGGAAAATTTAAATACTTAACATTTCTGGATGCGGTAATAAAGTTAAAATAATGACATCAAGCATTATTTCGTATGAGTAGTCTTCCTTTGCGGCCGCTGTGGCTGATTGGTTAGAGATGCGTATTGCCATAGAACCTGGTTTGATCTTTCTCACGTTAACCAGGTGTATGTAACTGGAACGACCTAGATTTATGTATATCTGGCCAAGTGCTGTTACTTCAGGACTATTCCTCAAAACTGTTTGGGCAGTTTTTATGGTGTTACAAAAACAATAAGTATTTTCTGATTGTGATTCTGCCTTGAGAAAATTGAAAAAAGGCGGCGTATAATTCTAGGTTCCTCAATTTGTGTTCTCATATCAGGACGCACACTTAGCATTATTAATACATATTCATAACCTTTTGCAACAAAGCTGCAATTTTATCTTATCATTTATGGAATAAATTTTACTAGTCGTCGCTAGTATAAAGTTTGTGTTGGCTTGAGGTTAAAGGAAATGGCGAATTCTATCTGGGTATGACTTGCATATGCAATGGCTATGAAAATGTTATGCTCTTTGGACGATAGAGTCTATCCATAAATCTTTTAAGAATAATTGATAAGATTTTATGGCGCGTCACGTTTAATAATATAGAGAAGTAATTCTAAATTTACGGTTTTTGGAGAATTCATAATACAATGAATAATCTTAATAAAGAAAATATGTTGAGTTTAACAGATAACTTAACTTTCCAAAAATTTGTCTTTCCATATGTCTTTTTTGTATACCAACTGTTTGAATTAATCCAAGGCAAATCGGCCTTGAATTGAACAAACTTTGAATGCGTTTTCCCAGCAAATTCGAGTTTGCTTGTTCAGGCTTGCAAAGCACAGTCATGCTTAGGTTTATACATATCGCTCATTTACTTCAATAGAGTCATAATCAAAAAAAAAAATACAAAAAAAAAGTGTGTAAATATTTCACATCGTCGCTGAAATGCAAAAAAGCCGTAACTAACTAAAATTTTGTATTTTATAAAACGATGTAGAGACTTATAATTCGATGAAATGTACGTTACACCGTGCCACAAGAACCAAAAATTTTTAAAATATACGAAAAAAGCAATAGTTGTGTTTTTTTACAAATTATCCAGTAACTTGCCAGCAACTCTCCAGTAACTTTATTACTAAGAATTCGCTCTCATAGAAAAAATTTGCAAAAAAGTACGCGAACGCTTTTCCAGTAATAATTTGCAAGTTTCATGAACAGCTGATAAATTGTTTGTTTATTCGCAGTAAATTCCTAATAAAACAATATATTTTGTATTTAAATAGGTTTATTTTGTGAAATTCAACAATAAAAACCCACAAACAGTTGCCTTATTAGTTTAAATTTCATCCAGTAACATGCGATCAGCTGTTTTTCGTACTGGCAAATTCTTACAAGTAAAAATTTATCCAGTAAAATCCAGTAAAAACTTGCAACTTCAACTGTCATTTTTCGCTCTCTCAATTTCCCCTACTTTGCAAGTTTTTGCGTACGAAAACGCCAAAACATGAAAATTCGTAAAAACTTTTACTGGATTTTACTGGAAATGAGTAAAAAAACGCAACTAATATATGTATGTATTCACAAAACTAGGACCCAAATATAGTATAACTGCCGTTTTAAGTTTTCTCTCTGACGTCAGGATTTTTTTTAAAGGACCGAAATTTCTACGATATGATTGAATAAAAAAAATTATTTTAAAGATTTTGCGCATTGTAGAATAACAATATGGGTATCAATTAAAAGAAAAAAAATGTATAGAATTGAAAAAAAAAATATTTTTTGCTGCATCAGGACGAATAAGTGTTGAAAATGTCCTTTTAAAACTTTATCCTTGAATATCCTTGGAAATTTCCAATATTTATTAAAAAAAATATATATATGTACATACATATATATGTCAAGGACTAACTTTTTCTTCTGTTTCATAGATTATTCAATCACTCTACTACATTATTTCCCTTATAAATGACTTTGTGGGAACAAATGAAGTTGCGCCGAAACGTATACCAACCATCCGCAAGGTCAAGGATTACCTGATGTCAGCTTTGGCTTTTCCAGTGGCTTTGAATGTAGGCATAACATTCTGGACTTTATATGCTATAGACCGTGAGCTGGTATTCCCACGGGTATTGGATGCAGTGTTTCCAAGGTAGGTGTGATGTATTAGACTTGTATTGTCTTCCACAATGTTCTATCTTTCATAGTTGCTTCATTTATATATATTTTCTTTTCAGTTGGCTGAATCACGTTGTGCACACTAATATTGTGGTCTTCATTATTCTGGAGCTTTTCACATCATTCCGTGCCTATCCCAAGCGAAGCCAAGGTATTACAGGTCTCGCCGCGTTTATGCTCAGCTACCTAGTTTGGATTCATGTGGTTAAGCACTACTCAGGTGTTTGGGTATATCCCGTGCTTGAGGTATTGCAATTGCCACAGCGTGTTGTCTTTTTTGTGGCTGTACTGGCTTTTACGTTATGTTTGTACCTGCTTGGTGAATTCATGAACAACATTGTTTGGGCCAAAGAACTGAAGTTGGCGCAACGCAAAATCAAATAAACAACTTTAATTCTCAGTTTATTAAATATTGCATTCAGAAAAGGTGATTTAAATATTGTTGATATTCAGGAGAGGGAGAAAACCAATTAGCAAATTAGAAAACAAAGAGAAGTTTCTTACGATATTTTAAATCAAAAGCTTTGCATGAATTTCTACAATGTATTTAATATATCGTATGTAGCTCGATTAAAGCCAAAACAATGCGAAAATCTAACCAAATAAAAACTTTGTGTAGTCAATTCCTATAAAAACTAAAATATTTGAAATATAGTTTGCATGCTAAATATGTATGTAAGTATAATGAACCCAGTTAATTCAGCGATACAAATTTTAAATACATATGTATTTATGGTTATATGTATAACACAATTTAACTTATTTATTCAGGTCACTTAGATTTAATTACACAGAAACATCTCGTTGAACAAATGCTAGCAAATATGAGAGCAGATATTATCATTTACTCTAAATATATTCATATCAGCGCACTGGAGTTCGTTACAAAGTTGCAAGCCAATAATAATGAATTTTAAATAAATGCTTTAAACGATATTGAATATTTGATGAGGGCTTTTTTTATTCATTGGGTTGTATTAAAATGACAACGGAAATGGATTAAATGCAATGGTGAGTAATAAAATTAAATAACAAAGTGTGTAAATTAAACTAACCCAGCCAGAAAAAAATCCGAAAACCGATCCGAAAAAGGAAAAAAGTAGATGAAGTGCGGATTTTTGTCCGTTTACCGATTCCATTTTCGGGTACTTTGACGATCCTTTTCCCACTAAAGTGTGCGGCAAACAACTACGGAAAATTGTTTGTGAAACGGATACTTTTTCGAATGTTTTTTCTGAAATTAGTCTAATTAATTTTTCCGTTCAATACGTACTGAAGCGTACGCGTTCATTCTGTACTTCAAAGATTCTTTTTCATGGTTAAAAAAAAAATAAAATTAGGAAGCGTCTGACGGAATTCGAACCCGCCCCTTGTGGAAGCTAACAAATAACGGCACGCTCCTCTGCACGCTCAGCCACTGCCGACTACGCGTGCGTGCTTTCAAATGTTCAGCTTGAACAAATAATATACAATTATTGCTTTCAAATAACATCATCTTTTTCGAACGTTTTCCGGATACGAAAATGAATGTTAACTGTAGTCGTTTCCTATTCGTTTCCGGATACGGAAAATTGTACTAGACTGCACTGACGACAAAATTTACGTTTCTTTGCTGGCTGGAAAGTTTCCCTTGAAATACATATACAACAGTTCGGCCATGAAGTTCGGATTCGGTTCGGTTTCGACCAAATTGTCCGAATAATTTAGCCGAAAAGTTCTAATGGAAATGTTAAAAAATTATAAAAATTATATATATATTTTTTCAATTTGAGTGCCTCTGTAATTTCATTGTATAGTTTTATTTGTATGGCAACTTTCTTGCAAGTAGTAATTATGCTGCCAATATGGCCCCTAGGGCCATTTGCTCAAAGCCTGGTTGACACCAATCTCCGGTTAAACATCGTTATCGACGTTACTGACACTATGTTATAGGCATGCGAGATCTCGAACATGTAGACCGCAAAAAGAACGAAGCATACTTTATGCATACTCGCATGCTTTCAACTATCATTTTTGTTGTGTGACAGGTATTTTCTCATTTCACAGAATTCTTCGTTTATTTTGATGGAAAATACATATTTGGCCTGAAAATATCGATCCTTCTTTTTGGCGACATTTTACGAATGAAAAAGTATGCAGTCAAATGCCCAGTCAACAAAACTCAATCTCGCTTGCGAGAGAAAAAAGCAAAACGCAAGCAAGATTTTCTAGCATGTGAAGACGGCCGGTTAGTGAAAGAATAATGGAACGGTCATATATTGCCGTTGCAAACATGGGTTGTACCTTTTTCTCTTTTTTCACAAAAATATGTAAGAAAACCGTAGTATACGCCCAATGATAGTTTGAATTACAACAAACACTTCGTTTTGACGTTATGCTTTCGAGGAATGCAAAATTCGTTCTCGGTTGCGTATACGACTTAAAGCAAAATTTGTTAAACACTCGCGCGCATGTCGATGCGAATGTTTAAAATGATACGAATCATTACCATAAGCGAATACGAATGCAAATATTCGTAACTTCTCTAACATGAATTGCCTTATCACCACCACAGTTTGAGAGCAACTGTACACGAAGAGTTCGCCACATTTTCGATTCCACTTGGCAAGTGGACAGTGGACTTTGTGAGATCTATGTGTGGCGCAAGTGGTAGTGGAATAATTAGTTAAAAGTTAAATTAAATATAAGCAGTATAATCATAATTCCGACTCCAGTAAATTAGTATCTAAAATGACAAAAAGCAAGAAGAAACTAAAGGAACAGCAGCAGGCGAAAGTGCAAAATGCGATCGTTGAGGAACGCCTGACAACAACGAACGATGCGTATACACAGGTAAAGGCTCCGTTATGCATACTTGGCATTGCTTGAGAGTTGTCACATAAGGAATCTGTTAAATGAGCTTCGCGTGTAAGCTGTTACCCAACGCACAGCATTACATACGTAAAAGTCTGTTGGTTTTTGATTTCTACGTAAAAATGGTATAGCAGTGCATGCAATGCCAAGTATGCATAACAGAGCCTTAAGCGTGTAAATTTAGTAAAGCCATAAACATATGTATGTACGTATTTGCACAACCGTAGGGTGCCTTCTCTTACCTGAGGATGCTCACACACATCATTGGACTGTTACAGTTCACCTATGGCATTTACTATCACTGGTTTAATGTGCATTGGCCTCAGCGTTTGCCGGAGGAGGAAGAGTTAAAGACGCGTTGGGGAGGAAAATTTAAATACCTTACCTTTCTGGATGTGGTTTGTAATTTACAGTTTAATTATTTTGCGACTTGTTTTTTGAGTCTCGCCTTTCTAGATATTGCAAGCACTATATCACTTTGTTGCGCTTCTAAATGACTTAGTTGGCTCCAATGAAGTCGGTCAGACGAGGCTGATGCCGGGTGTGCGTAAGTTGCGAGATTATATCTTCGCCACTTGGGCTTTTCCCATAGCACATAATGTCTGCATTTCCTTTTGGGTTATATATGCCTATGATCGGGAGCTCATTTTCCCCAAGGCGCTAGACGCTATTTTTCCCAAGTAATTATGCTGCCAATAAGTACATATCGTCATCATCAATGCAAAAGGCCATTTTTGAGGATATCAGAAGTTCACTTTTTAAATATTCCATTATTTTGGTTATATCAAAATACTTAAAATAATGAGAGGTTTATTTTCGCCTTTAAACCAGATCTCTTAGTCAATTTAAAAAGTATTTTATCCTTTTGTAAAATGTCATATAGGGCCATTTGCATTGATGATTACGATATATCCAAGTAAACGTTTCTAAACATGTGTATGTACGTACATTTTCCCTTCACAGCTGGCTGAATCATATCGTTCATACCAATGTTGCTATGCTCGCTATACTCGATATGTTTACTTGCTTCCGTCAGTATCCAAGTCGCACGGCAGGACTCACGGGTACTATTATATTTATGGTACTCTATATAATTTGGATGCATATAGTGCGCTTTTTCTCTGGTCATTGGGTATATCCACTGTTGGAAATTATTAATTTACCAATGCGATACTTTATGCTCAGTGCTTTATTGGGCTTCACAGTATTTTGCTATTTCTTGGGTGAATTTTTAAATAAAATAATTTGGAGTCCAGAGTTGCGATTGCTGAGAATGAAGAGTGCAAAGATCGAGTGATCTGTTGTTATGTCTTCACAAAGGAGTTGGAAATACTATTAGACTTTCGCAAACTGAGAAACGCTTGAACAAGTAATTTTAATTAAACTTCAATTTTATTTTAGGTAAGTACCAAATAAAATGATTGGTATTTTTTATTATACGATTTCGCAATTACGAAACAATTTTTCTTGGAGTATACATACATACAAAATTTTAAGAATATAGTTTTGTTAATTGTAAAAATAGTTTAGTCTTAAGGCACTAACTAACTTACACTTAACAATTACAAGGTTTATGTAATTAACTATATATATGCCAGTGTACTGCACAAGCCGCGTCATTTACGTTTTCAAGCTATTTGAAAAAAATACAAGCGCCAGTATGATTCGCACTTGTTTCAAACAACCCAATTTAAATCATAGCTTGAACGCAAACGAAAACGGTAGCAGCGTTGGACATACACTTGGATGTGTTTGAAGTAAATCAAGTCCGAATATGAGTTGAAATTCAACAAGCAAGCCAAGCATTTACTTGCTTGCTTCGAACCAAGCCCAGTGAATACAAGTAAGCTTTCAAGTAGCTCAAAATGTAAGTAGCTTGCTGCAGTACACTGATACATGCCTATACATGTAATTTTCCTGTATTAGTCACTTACGTATTCATCACACCAGGTATTTTATATAAATATGTATACAACAAAATATGTTTATAAGTCAGTTCAAGTTTGTAATATGTATGCAAATATGTATATTATTTTGCAAATTCATTATTTGTGTTTTGCGATATACGTGTGAGTATTATTCAGATGACAATTTCAAATGATGTAAATGCTGCAGGATGTGCGCTTAGGAGTGTAAAATTTTATTATAGTAGTATAAAATTTGAACCTAGTGTCTACTGATGTTTCAATTAAGTCTAAACATTATAATGTTATACTGTTTAGTGTAAAATACTCTTCCTAGGAGTAATTAAAAATCACACCACAGTGCATTTTAAAATAAGTACAAAATCAAAAAGTGATTTCTGAGATTGAAGAACGTTTAGATCAGTGGTTCCTTTCAGATCTTATTGAGCATTATATGTTTATATGAATGTATGTATGTATGTATGTGCTGCGAGCACCATTCAACTCTACTTCGATGGCAGCAACAATAATTTTAGTTTCTCGGATTCGCTCAACAACATTGCTTCCTTGTGCTTATTGTTGTTGTGCAACAACGTTTGCATTTCGGTTGCATCAACTGCCTCATCTGCATATTCACTTTTCTGGCGCACACCCTTTGCATTTAATTGTCGCATCGCCATTTTCAGTTCATCTTCGTCGTAGGATGTCAAATTGTGCGTAGCTATTTCAAAGGCATTGGCTTGTATACCCACATCGCAGCTTGTTTTGCTGCTTCGTGAATTTGGCTTGCCGGTAGATAGTCCGGAGTACGAGCTATGTAATGTTAAGACCAGTGGCAAGTCGAGTTCAGAGGATGTGCATGATGAAGTAAAGGAATCAGCAGCATCGCAATTGAGATCTCGTGCTAAATGCAAATTCATTTCGGAAATATTAAGAACATTTTCATTGTCCTTCTGCAATGCGGCGACTGCAGCGACATTCGAACGCCTAGAACTTTGTTTCCTTCCTTTGCCACTGCGTTGGGAACGCCGATTATTGCCATTGGCCATTACGGCCGCCGCAGCAACAGCAGCGGAACTGGTAGCCTGGGATTTTCGTGAATGACGACTGCGTGTGGAGTTGCGAGAATTTCGATTTGTGGCCGATTCATTAGACTGCTGCATATTTTTTAGTAAATTTTCTAACGCTATTTGTTTTTTAATATTGCGCTCATGAATATCTGTGTCTATTTCTTCGATTCGTGGGCCATTGCGAGGCTGTGCATCTATATTCCCGCCGTCGTTGTAGTCGTCACTTAGATCTTGCTTCAGTACTACGTCTAAGCGGGAATCTTGAATTTTGAATGAAGCATGAGAATTGTCCGCATCGGACGAGCTGCTTAAGCCTTGCTGCTGGAGGAAAGGCATTAAGAACTGACCGTTTTTGGCCAAAAATGCACTGATATCAGCGGGATCCAAACCTGTAGGGTAACCGTTTAATTTTTAAATCCAAATTATAAGCACTTGTATGTATGCATGTACTCACCCGCATTTGCGCTGCGCCGTTTCATCATTTTGCTACCATGTGAATGATGCTTCTTTGTACTTTGATGGGCAAATAAACCGACTTTGTGACTTGCGTTCGGATATGTAGTCTTTTTCAAGGCAATGACTTGCGACTCAATGGAAGTGCTGCTCTCTCGACGTCCACTATATTTACGGCCAGAAGTGGCTGAGGATATAAAGTCGCGTCGTTTTTGTGAGCGCTTGTTCGTGGCAGACGCCTGTTTACTGCTGTGGTTGTGATGATGATGGCTGCTTCGCGAGCGCGAGGCAACTTTTGTTTTCATTTCGGCAATTTTCACAGATACCTGAAGGTTTATATACATTATCGGTTAGAGTAGTTTTGAATGACAAGAACGCACCTGAGAGTCCACAGAATTTCGTCGCGATTCCACAGAAACATGACGTACGCTAAAACTTATTTCTGAGTCAACGGAATTTTTTCGAGGGCCTTGACTGGAAGAGTTTGTGGCTCCCGCACCGGTGAGAGCCATGCGACGCTTAACAAATTGTGGCAAATAATTTGCCCATGTGGAACTAATTTCATTTGTTTCAGAAGAATTTAGATCATTTACGTCGAAGTTCAAACCTACAGGATCGGTATGTGTATTATACAGAGTAATAGAGAGCCTCCCCTTATCCTCAAACTCCTTGCGTTTGGCCCAAGTTTGGGCAATAACTTTGTGTTTTGGCATTTTAACTTCCTCGGCGACATCCTTACCACATTTTCTGGGGAACAAAAATTGCTTAAAAAAATTTATAACATTAAGTGAAGTAACCTACTTTCTTATGTAACGCCGCCAAGTTTCTATTGAAGAAGGTGTCCAGCACCATGTTGACATGACAATCCCCGATCCAAAGAGGCAGAGTAAATGCAGCTGCAACAAGGCAATGCTGGGCCGATTTTCAATTCTACACTGCTCTTCGGTTGAAATGCGGCAGCTGAGAGAAGAAACGTTGTTTTAAAGATATCTTAGTGAAAGGTGTACCGAAATGCCAATAAATTACTCACATAATGAACATCCGCAAGCTCTCGGCCCATTGGTGGGAGTTTCGAAACTCATTTACGTGGCATGCAATGGCAGCTAGTATAAATAAAAGTGTAAACACCGAACAGAGCCCCATTCTCACAATAATTAGATGAATCTTATTGCTTGCCGATGCCGATTTAATGTCGTTTGCAAAGTGTTTTAATCCAAAAAGCATTATCATGCCGCGTATGACAAAGTAGCCACCTACCAATATAACGCCGCACAATGGTCCCAGCAATAGGCCAGCTCGCATCGGATGATTCAAATACCCAACAAAGCAAATACCAACAGTACTATTGCCATCTACTTCACTCAGCGCCATTGTGGTGATGGTTAGCACAAGGGGTAGAGACCACGCGACTAAATGGAAGTAAGAGCCTTTTTTATCAATACGGTCCTGAACGTTGCCCACAGCTCGTAGGTGCCAAGTGTACGTAAGAAAGACAAACCAAACCATCGCAGCGGTAAGAAAATAGTATACCAGCACAAAAACGACGATACAGGAAAGATTCTCACCGGCTGTGGGTTCCGAATGACGCAAGGTGCCATCTTTGCGGCACACGATATCTTCGCGCGACCCGGGTGTAAACTGTGCCAACCACCTAGTGAGAAAATTGTATTAAAAAAGTATCTTCTATGATAACCCATGTTTTAGAATTAGCTATTAACAGTTCCGCTTTTTTATTTTGTCACTCACCCCAAACATACAATCATGAAGCACAAATTGATGTAGAATACGATCAGTGCTGGATATTTATTTGCATTCTCCCAATCAATTACGAAAGTGGCCACCACAAAAAAGTTTGCGAGACAGCATATTGTACCAAGCCAACTAATTAATTTATGTATTTGCCGATGCTCATCATCGGTGTACAAAGGATCTTTGCATTGCACACCACAACCTTCAATGCCAGGATAGTTGCTACTACTCGATTCTACTGGCACCAGTGGAGCGAGACAGCTACCAGTAGCATTAAATTTCATCTCTTGCACATCGTTCGTACACTTTGGTGGAAATAAAGTTTCATTACAACGTAGAAACTCGGGAAAATATGATGTGTTGTAGAGTATGCGACACGGTTCCCAAGTCTTGCGACACATTTCTACCGAAGGCAGATACACCATGTCCTTGCCATTCATTTGTTCACACTTTGGCATAAACACGGAGCAAAGAAATGGCTAAAACACATTCGTTTTTGTTATTAGTTTTCGTAGTTGTTTGTTAATTGCAAATTATATTAACGTACCTGTATGACTGCCCAGCATTTCGGTACATTTCTCAGGGCGCGATAGCTGTGTAAGTGCTTCAACATTTGCTCCTGATTCCGGTAGTCAGTGAGATCAAGGCTAGTGAAGTTATACGGAATTTTAGCACCCAAACAAGTGCTGTTGACAAGCTTTTCGCAGCGTCCATGTCGCACACACTGTGTGTGCTGCATATCCAAACCGCGCCCATCGAACCAAGGTTTATTGTCTCGATTCGTTTTTCCATTTATACGATAATTTATTGTACCATTTATGGGCTTCAAATCAGTTTGTATGGCCAAAGTGGTGGTGGTAAATGTGGCAGAGAGGGCGTTAGCGTTCCTAGAGGAAACATCGGCCAGAGTGTTGGCTAGTCGAAAATATATGCATAAAATCAAATAGCAAGCAAATCTTCGTGGAAAACATCTGCCAAAGCTGCAGAAGAAATCGGAATTCCTAGAATTATGGCAAATGAGTACAGACAAATGATCTCTGGGCAAATCATAATACATTTACATCGCTGCAGGCTGAACGCGGAAAAGATCGTTGGCACAATAAATAATAGATATTTCACAATAACATTTTTGTGTAAATTATAGTTTAAACGTGCACTTAATATTAATTAAAACATAAATTCGAAGAAAAACAAAAAATGTAACTGCGGAAATAATCGCTAAAGAAACAAATGACAAGCGATGTAGCAGCAGCATGGCTGCCAACTTCGCTCAAACCGTACCATTCTTGGGCCCAAGGCAAGGTACATTGAACAGGTAGATCAGTAGAGCAGCTGTTTTGATTTATTTTCAAATTATTTGGTCAATGTCAAAATGTCAAATATTTTTAATTTTTTCTCACGAAACTTATAAGTTGTTAAAATCCATTTGCTTGTGAAACCTTTTTCCATACAAAACAAGCGATTAAATAGCAGCTTTTGGAACGTTCGCCCAACTCGGCAGCACGACCTAGTGTGATTTATTTTGTGTTTGTTGTATTATCAATTCGCCTTGTTTACAACAAACACATCGTTTTGACTTTAATATGTACCGCGGCGAAAATGTAAATTCGCCAGTAACACCACATTGTATAAATTGACCTTGATTTTGACATAGGAAGAACCGCGGCAAAAACCTAATTTGGCCATTAACCGCCATATTCCCACACCACTGACAAAACTCAGCCTACTGCGCCTAATACTATGCCGCAAATTTATTTTAAGCTGTCGTATGACAATTGTCAGTTTTATTGTTATGACCTACTGAGTAAGTGACAACGGCGAAACAATGTTTATATTGTG